AAACCCGATCAAAGGCTTCAGAAGTCTTGTCACTAGGGATAGGACACAAGACACAGCATGCCTGCTCTCCCATCTTGGAGCAAGGAAGACAAGAAATTAATTCCAAAAGTAGTGCTGAAGTTAGTGTCTCTCCAGTCAGAGTTTATTCTTCTGACCTTATTTGCCCTAGATCTCCATTCCCCACAGATACATGGAAATAAGGGGAAAAATATGCCATCGATGTGCCCACTGAATTTTTTCCATTAAAGCACAGTTTCATTAGAAACATATTAGTTCATTGAGCTGCCCAGCCTTTGTTCAAAACAGGCTCATGATGACTCATGACCAGGGATATGTACATTTGCACTTCAAAGGCACGAAGGAGAAGCAGATCCAGTGTACAGAGCAACCTTAACCCGCGCTGTGGCGCTCGGACATCACTTTGCTGACTTGCAACACTTCTTCATAAATACAAGTGGGAAAATGCCAAACAATTAAGATTTTTTTTTTTTTTTGATGGGCTAATGGCTAGAAAGGGGTAGGGGAAGGCACACAGATGAAAAGAAAAGGGAAAGGCAAAGAGGACAAGTGATCAAGAGAGACTCTAGTTTCTCCTTCCCCCCATTTGTTTTCTCAGCACCTGTGCCGCGTGTGGCTCAGTGGAGATGACCTGTGTTTGCATCCTGATGACCCAGGGCTAACTAGACACGCTTCTGCGATTGGAAAAGTATCATCAAAAAAAAAAAAAAAGACTTGGCCAAGCATGAGCATAAGTTTAAAATGGCAGTGTCCCACTGCTCACTTCTAATGTAGCAGAGGTTTATATAGACCTGCTCTCTCACTGCTGTTCCTTGCAGATGATGTCGTGCAGGAAAAGTCTTTTGATTTTGGTTTCCAACCAGGGCACGTGCAGGCTTGCATGGCAGAGAGGCTCCAAAGGTCACCAGCTGTCTTTAATAAAATGAACACATTAGTTCAGTAAATCCCCATCGAAGCTACATGGGAAATGTCTCTTGACTTTACATTATTTGATTGTATTTAATATTCTGTTAATTTGCCAGATGCTTTCTTCAGAGTTTTGACAGTGCTTCTGCTGCAGCAAAAATCAACACTGCTGCTGGATCTGATTGCCTGTTTCAGCACTGTACTGTGGAAAACTATCTCACATCATTTAACAGTTTCATTTGCTGAAGACCTTTGAACAAATTCATTTAACAAGCACTCACTGGCACTGAATATATATATTAAAAAGCTTTCAAATAAAAATGCCCGAGAGAAAGGCCAGGCATATTGATGCACTAAAACCTAGGAGTGAATAAGCAATAAGGGACGATATTTAAAGTTTGGAAGTTGGAAAGGTGGGTGAGACCTTAGTAGAGAAGAAAAGGAAAGTCAGGGAAAGAGAGAAGGCGGTTCTGCTGGGAAGCTGTAGCCTTCTCTCCTCCGATCCTGGACTGGTGTCATTTAAGTCCCAGATAAGTTATGTGGCTCCAGGCCACACGATTTCTTTCTTATTTGCTCAGGGCCCTAGCCAAGGGCTGGTTTGACCAATATGTAATTCATAGTGCTGCCTGGATACCCTGCAGCCTTTTAATCTTATCTCCCGTTAGTTTTTCATATCCGTTTTGACAGCAGCTACTCTTGTACAATTGCAACTGCACTGAAGCAGGAGCTTTTTGGACTACTGTGGAAATCCACAAAATCCATCAAAAAATCCTATTCAAATATAAAAAGAGCCAATTTTTTTTTCAGTGAGATCTGACACTGGACTTCAATAATACTGTAATTGAGCCTGCAGGCCCAACTTCTGTCATTCCCTTCCTCTTTCTATTCCTTCAATTTTACTGTCCTTCATCCATTGCTCAAGTACATTTTTGATTTCTCAACCTCTGCTGCTGATCCTCCTTTTTCCACATGTAAGAACTCTTCTTTTTGCTGTTTCTCTTATGCCTTACACAGTCTTTCTCATTCCTTTTTTCCCCCTACCCTTTCACCACCTTTTATTATTTTTGCTGAGACCTTTCTTTCTTTCCTTCCCTCCCTCCTTCCTTCCCTCACCACTTCTGGGGCTCAGCTGCGGCCATCGGTGACTCTACAGCAGATCCCCAAGTAGCTCACAGCCTTGCAGGGAGGGGGCCTGTCCCTGTGCTCCCCCTGGATCAGCCTGAGGGCAGAAAACCCTCATATTCCCATCTCTCCCCATCGCTTCTCCTTGGGGAAGGCTGAGCAGAGGCTGGGATAGGTGCCCCTGGGGTTGCCTTCCAGCCTGAGCAATACTCATGTTGAAGAAAACCTCGTTGCTTTGTCCTTGGATGTAGGGCACAGCAAATAGGGTGCAGCGGTAGCTTGCTGTAATGTGAAGCTGCAACTAGGGCACGTGGGCAACCGGAGCTCATGCTGATACTTGGACCTCTGGTGAATTGATTTCAGTGCTAAAGGGTGCTGCTGGATGTTGCATCCACTCATTGTGTCTTTGGGGAGAGGATCTGTACTGGGAGGCTGATTTAAAACTTTTCTTCTCTCGCAGTCAAGATCAAATATCTTGTAACAGGGAACATTTCTTGCCTGAGGGGCTTGACTGTGTCCTGCTAATAAGAATATTCCCTGAATAGATTTTAACATATTTTTTTTTCTTGTTCATTTAAAATTGATATTTGAAAGTTTCCTTTAAATGCATTTAGACATTTCCCTGGATGATCAATTATCTCAATTCATGTAATGTTCTCATGCGTAAGCATTCCCTATGATGGCAATAAATGAAATTCAGTAATAAACTCTCATAAATTTATTAAGGTCCCACAGCCACAGATCACCATTGTCAGTTCATATAATGCTTCCCTAGTTACTTAAAAGCTATATTACATGCCATTACATTTATAATCCCACTTAATATTAGTCCACTTAACAACCTTTCAAACATTTGGAACTGAATTTACAGTCTCTCATCAGTGCCTCTCTGAGGTTTATTGCAACATTTCCTCTCTAAATGTTTTTGTGGTCTGAGAAAGGATTATTCTCACTGAAGTGTCATAAGCTTCGCTCAGCAACTCACTTATTTCTTCCTTCTTTATGTCTCTCTCTTTTTTCCTCACAGCTCAGACCCTCCTCATTTCTTCTGTATTCCACTCTGAGCTAACCCCTCTCTATGCAGATGACAGCCTTAGGTCCTACTTGTAAATCTTCAATGCCGATAGTCCTAGATCTGGCACGCTGCTTGCAGCAGCAGCAAACAATAACTTCTGGGAATGTCATTGCCTTGGTAATATTAGCTGCTGTTATCTTGTAGAATAAACTGTACATCCCTGCTTTCCACTGATTATTCCTAAAAATACATGGCAGTCTGAATCTGCACCACTAAGTCTCTCCTCTTTTATGAGACCATTTCCCCCATTTTATTCTCAGCATCTCTCCCTGACTAACGACCTCACGTTCAGGTGAGTCAGGCATGTTGACAGACCAGGGCACGAGTTTCCAGACTAAAATATATGACCAGTTCTCATCTAGTGTTGTTGGTTAAATAAAGTTCCGATAGGCTTTGCTATTAGAAAAGCCTCTGGAGCATACAAACCACAGTGAACTGGAACTACTGGTTTGTGCTGTCACCCTCTGATTTAGATCAGAGTGGTTCTGAATTTGCCAGGTGAGGCGTGACATGGGTTTTACCCTTTTATCATGCTTTCTGCAGCCAGTTTGTGCAGGAAATGTCTGACAAAATTCCCCCGTCTGAACAGTTTCCTGGGCAAGGATTTAACTTCTCATGTTTATGGTTTTTCTCTCTGTAATGCAGTATAACAGTACTATATTGTAACAGTAGCAATCCATTAACTCTACAAAATTGTGCTTTTGGAAGGACTTTTGTAGAAAATCCTAATGAACCTTGTGTTTGCCAAGAGCATGAATGACGATCAAGGATCTGCTTTCTGAGGGCCAAGAAAGATGGATCAAGGTAATTGCTGATCCTGCCCGCATTCTTCCACTCATCCTGTCCCCAGCTTCCCCCCCCCCGACACCGCACTGGGCTGCGGGGGTACAGGCTTCCCACCTCTCACAGACCTCGCTGCTGGGTCAGCCCCATGGTCAGATAGGGCTCAGCCTCTCCTGGGCTGCTGCTGCCTGAGACCCGACACTTCTCATCTAGCTGACTTTGTTATGAAATAAGGCTTTACTGATGAAACACTCCAGCTTTCGTGGAAATGCAGGAGCACATTGTACGTGGTGTACGGATTGGAAAACAACTCCTGCCAGGCAGGCTGGTGGAGAAGGCGAGCATTGCTGCGCAATCAATACTGGCCTCAGCTTTCTGCATCTCTGCTCGGCAAGGGGTAGCCAGAAAGCCTCGAAAATCACCAGCATAAAGCCACTAACACTATTAAGACCAAAGCATGGCTTTCTATTCCTATAGCTGTACAGAATTTTAATTAGAGCTGTGTGGCTGAGGGGATTTTTTTTCTCCCTTACTTGGCGTTGTAGGCTCCAAGATAGTTTTTTCATATTCCATGACAAAATGAAATGGTGTCTCGACAAGACACAACAAAAGGGAAGGAACATCTTTTTCAGCAGAAGAAAACCAGCCCGATGATTAATCTCCGCCGCCGGCGCAGTTGCTCAGGTGCAGACACAGCCGGCCGGCTCCGGGCACGGGCAGGCGGCTGTCCAGGCAGATGAAGCTGGAAGCTGGGATTGCCCCTCCGACCCCTCCAGCTGCAGGCAGCTGCCCTTCTTCTGCCAGAGGTTACTGCCTGCTACAGGGGAATAGGCAAAGGGGAACTACATGTATTTGCCTCTCAGTTGCTTCCATGCAAAATCTGGCTGTTTAGTTAAAAATGACAGTAAAGGAGTGCTCGTTGCAGACTTCAAGGAGGTTTGGGGCTACGCCTTGCTGTCCCAACCCCGCTGCACGGGCAGTGCTCTCTGGCAGAGAGGCCAAACATGCAGCTGTGGTTGGGATCCCATCAAGCCTCCGCAGCCTGCTCTGGAGAGCGGTCCTGCAGCCTCGCCTGCCGTGTTCACTCCCGTGGAGACGCTTCTGGTCCCATCTGGCTTGGGCCAGCTCCACGGGCAGCAAGCTGGGCTGGAGCTCCTCCCGGGAAGCAAATGGCAGAAGGTGGGCAGAGACAGCGCAGCCTGGCACACTCATCTTTTTTTTTTTTTTTTTTCCTTTCCGGGGTGGAGTGGGTGGGTAATCTGGATTGCCACACAGAAGGTTGTATCACCTGCAACCTATCTATTGATAGAATTACACTGGATCAAAAGGTAAACCTTTTCTGTATAGATAAGCTGTAGCATTAGCAATTTTGTGATTTCCTTGTACGCTTTCCTCGCATAGATTTCAATTAGGTAGATGAGGATATAATTGTGATCTCTTTGTTTTGTCTTTGTGGATGCTACAGAAGGGATTATTTTACTTCTTACATTTATTTTTTTGGCCTTGGTATTATTATGCTGAGGCTTCAAACATCTGAGTTGCCTGGAAATTCATATTTCCCCAGAAGAATGATTTGGCTTGTCTGCTGATGGCAGAGAGTGCAAGTTGGCACACTTACAAAAGAGAAATCTGATTTTACCAGCAGCAACTTCGTCTTTCATTCAACCTGGAACAGCAGACAGAAAATCAAGGGACTGTTGAAGAAGCAATTCCAGGCAAATTATGATCTGAAATCAGCTTTGAAAGAACTGTGATGGAAAGTAACTATATTATTTCTTTCAGTTTTTCTGTTCTGTTGCCATTTTTCCCTCTTTTTTTTTTTTAAAAAAAAAAAAAAAAAAAAAGAAAGAGAATACTAGAATGAAACCAACCTTCATTCAGAAGGAGAGTATATTGATTCAATTTTGTGTCTTCCAGCTTCTTCTCCTCTCTGATTTGTGAGCTCCTAAAAGGGCACTTTCTGTCACTTTGGTGAGGTGATGTGTCCCGTATTTGAAGTTTGCGCCATTTTGGTTCCACAGTGATTTCCACAGCTTAGAAGAATTTGTTTTTTCTTAAAGTATTATATGAGAAATAAGCTTTTGTTTTGTCTAGAGAGATTCTTTCATTCTTTTAATGAAACAAATTTAATTTTAATGTGAGATAATCTTCTTGATTCTGTCACAACTTTATTTCTACTGAATGGAAGACTGTGCCCTGTGGGTACGCTTCTCAGGAGGGAAAAAGTCACAGGCAGCAGAAGGTACAAAGCAGTAACGCTGGTTAAACAGTCCCTGTTTCCTCCCAGTTGGTGATATTTGAGAAGAAACCAAATGTGTTACATGTGCTGATTGCTGTGCCTTTTTGTGTGTAGATGTGCCTTTTCCAGTTTATAATGTGCCAGAATTTGGTGGAGCAGAGAACTGTGCAAGAGTTTGAAAGGTAAGGACTGAGACAGTAAGTGCAGTGCACCCGGTGTCTAAGTGGTATTATTCTCCACCAAGAGATCAATTTTACAGTTTGCCTTTATGGTCTTTGATTATAATAAAAGTCCTGAGGAGGTGAGTGGGGATGTGCTTCCCCACATGACGGTGCTGGCTGAGGCCGCAGACCCCATCTTGCCTGGGGCAGGAGGATGCTGTTGTGGTGACTCTCCTGTCACGGTGTTTGCTGGAATTCATGTCCTAGTGCAGTGACTTTGCTGTGCAGAAGTAGGCCAGGCCCCAGGCGGACTGTCCCAGGAACATGGACTGGGCACCCTGGTACCCAGCTCAGGGTAGCTGCACTGCTGGGGGCATGATGGACTCCTCCAGTTGCTCCTCAGCATCTCAGGGAGCTCAGCATCTGACACAGACCTTCTATGACTGTATTGCTCATGATACCAGTGCCTGGAATCATCCCATGGCAGCATTATGAAGACCATAGTTAAGATATAAAAGTAACTATACTGGGTGATCCCAAAGGTCCACCCAGCATCCTGCCTTCAGCTGTGGCCAGCAACAGGTCCTTATGAAAGAGCATAAAAGGCAGGGCAGATGTAAAGTGGTACCCTCCCAGCTACTGTCTTTTTTAGGGTCTTTCCGAGCCAGAGGTTGTATCCAGACAGTCACGTTCCCTCACCACTGGTGATGTCATCAGACATGAATTTGCCTGATCCCTTTTAAAATTCATTTTTACATTTGGTCTCTGCAACTTCCATGAGCGGTTAGTTTCACAGTTTAATTAGATGTTATGAGAAAAGGTATTTCTTTCTCTTTGTTTTAAACCTGTTGCCTGATAATTGGGGTGCCTTCTAATTCTCATAGTGGGTGGAAGATTGAGTAATTGTTCTCTGTTTACTTCAGTTATCATTAGAAACCTCTATTATCTCCCCTCTCAGCTGTCTCTTCTTTTCAGCTGAAGAGTCCAAGTCTAATTAATCTGTCCTCATTTCAGCAAGGCTGAAATCCAGCTCAAAATAATTGCCGAGTGCGATCCTAGCACACTTGTCTAAATCATACCTACAAACCTTTGGAGGTTATTGTGCTACTTATGAAACCAATGGACATCTTTATAAGACCTGCTATGAACGCAAAGGGCACATACAGAGTACTCAGAGCTGAAGGATAAAACAATAAATATGTAACACTTTTTCACATACTGTCACTTTTGATCAGATATAATGTGAAACTGAATATTCTGGTAAAGATTGGGTGCTTTTGTGTATTCAGGAAACTTGCATCTGGCACAGAAATGCCTGAGAAGATGCCAAGTAACATATGCTTCAATTCTGATTTCTGCAGAAGGAGAAAAATTAGGAGAGACAGACCTTTAATTGGCAAAGTTCAACAGTGGGAGTTCTGTGGTGGTCTGTTGTTTTCTGACATAGTTAAATCCAGTTGCCAAAGATTAGATTGGGTCATTGTACATCAAAAGCTAAGGTGCTTTGATAGGCATTTATAAGTACCTGAATATATTTTCAAGCTGTCAAGATTATATAAAATCATACTAGTAAATGAACCACAGATAGAAGAATGAATAGTTTAGATGTGCTTCATTTCAACTAGATGAATATCAAAATCCAACCTGGCTTTGACTAAATTCCAAGGAAGAGTGTTCTGGCCTTTCATGATATTCTCCTCCATGTTACAGTCTGTGTTCTTTCAAACTAATCTTTTAATATTCACATCCACTACAGTATGTAAAAAAGAGGCAGGTATAACTTACTGTATATATGCATACACACTTTACAATCAATTTATGGTTCCATAAACCAAATTAAGAATGAGATTTTGCTGAGCATAGGTGGTTTCTGCAGTCATGAATCTCCAAATCTGCTGAAATATTTTGTGTAGATTTCAAGTGAAGTGGACTTTTTTTAGATTTCACATGTAACCATAGCACTGCAAGGTACTATATATTCAAAAATAATCTCAGCAGCCACAACATCAGTTTGATTAATATTATGTATAAAATTCTTCACAAAACCTGATCAGTGTCTGAACTCTTGTTCAGAAGCCACTTTTCCATCTGACAGTAGCTGTCTCCCACCTCCCATACGCACAAACTGTGTTTTCACTCCCTGGGTGGCTGTGGGGGGAGCCAGGAGTTTGGGTAGCTCTGGGCACTCGCAGGGCAGCAGCTCTTCAGCCTCCGGGGCTCCTGGTCCACCTCAGTGTAAGCTGTTCCAGTTTGTAGAAACTTTGGAAGTACAAGGGGACCGTTCGGAACTGGAGGAAAACCACATTTTGAAACATCTAAATATTTTGTGAAATAAAACTGTCTTTGCTCAGCTCTAATGATGAGGCAGATTTCATCTGAGCATTTTATGATGTGCAGAAATTTAATAACCTTTATAAACCAGAGATTTCATTTCTGTGATGAGTCCCAAAGTTTCAAAAGACTTTTAGATTTAGAATACGAGAGTTGTCCAGGCTGTGTAAGAGGGAATGGATGGAAAATCCTAGATGGAAATGTTGTATCTTAAAAAGAAAGAAAATACAAGCTAGACACTGCTATGTAAAGAAAAACAACAGGCAGAGATAGGCAAAATAAGCAAAAATTGAAGGTGTGCCGTTTATAAACCCTGACGACTAATGAACATCCAGATCTTGCAGCTTTGCATGTGGAAAAGTAGGATGTGAAAACACAGACAGGCACCCGAAGAGAGATGCTCTGCTGGCTCTGACCTTGCTTCTCATGGGCCTCTTGTGCGGGGGCAGAAACCGGGCAGCGAGGAGTGGGGCAGCCCGTGTGTGAGCACCCTGACTTTGTTCACAGAGTCGCTTAGTCCTGGCCACCTGGAGCAGGTAGGCATCTTTCAGGAAGTTTCTTCACCATGAAGAAAACACTTGGTGGACTTAACCTTGGCACTTCTGGTTTAAAAAAAAAACAAAACAACAAAAAAACAGGTCATACTTCCTTGCCTTATTTCCCCTTCATTGTCTTGCACAAATCAAGTGCAGCTTCATCCAACCGAGTATGAATTATCTCCTAGCTAGTCAGCAGTGCTTAGAAAAAATCTTGCTACAGCCAGCATCTTTTAAACTGCTTAATATTTTCCACATTGTGAAGGTTATTTGTCCAGTGGCTGCCACCTGCCTCCTCCTCATCCTTCTTTTAAATTAATAAAAACCATGGCTATTAATATATCCAAGGAACTTGGTATATTTAGGAGACATCATGCTACTTGGTTATGAAAAATTGATTCACAGACTCCTGAAACCGAAAGAAAGCTGCCTAATTCAGCAAAACCAATCATCCCAATGTTCATACAGTAGCAAACTAAAAATTAATTCAGACTTTGGGATAGAGTCCCACATCACTCTTTTCTTCTTTGCTTTTCTAAAAGCAATGTAATGTCTTTATTTATGTTAAAATAACTTTAGTAAGCTTCTTGTTCTGGAATTGGGCTACATTTCAAGGCACACATTTGAGGAAATCTAAATTCTGATATATCAATGGTGGTAGGCTGAGATATCACCTTTAGGATTCAGAAGGCTGGCACAGGGACACCAGTTCGCCGTGAGGCTGATCTCTTGAGTAGCCTACAGCTGAACACAAAACCTGCCTCTTGCAGGTAGCTGAAAACAAAAATCCTGAGGCTTCTGAGGTGTGGGGCTACTGATGAATGACACGTGAAAGCAGATAGAAATGTGCTGGTCTTGAGCTTTCATCTGCTAGTTCCTTATGAGTGCAAAATGGATTTGCAGTGCAGCTGAGGACAAACCAGTTTTACAAGCACTGAGCACTGGTGTAAACAATTACCCAATTACTTGGGCTGGGTGTTAGCAGGAAACAGATACTGATGTGGCAGGAATTTCTTAGCTCCTCCCTTCCTTTCTGCTCACCTGAGTACCAAGGAACGAATTGGGATACATCAGTGGCTCACTCCAAGCCCCATGGAAATGTCTTTCATCTTGTACATGTGTCGCTATATTATGGAGCTGGTGACCTGCTCCCTCGATCTCTGTTTTGCTTTGTTTTTCAAGTATGAAGCATTACAGGTGTGTTGCACAGTATAATTACTGCGTAAAGCAATAAGGGAGAAAAGAATCAAAGCCAACATGCAGAAGTAAGAAATGCATCTATCAGGGAGTACAGCCTTAATCTGCGGTGGGTTTGTGCCTGCACTGATATTTGTCGGTGAGAAGTGTATGTTCTTACATGCATCCGCATGATTCCTGGTTGTTTTTCTTTTATGTGTCTGTACAAAGACATGGTTTTCCCTGTATTAGTGTGCCCTGGATAGGTGTGATCCTCCAACAAGGAGACAGTGAGGCTGTGTCAATATAGCAGCAGACACGCTGGGGTGGCAGGATTGTTATCAGCAACTGCTCATAATGCAGCAGGGCAGCTCTCAGAAACACCTGCCGAGTGCCAGGCCCTGAGAAAGCTGCTTCTAATATACCCTGAAGCAAGCAACAAGGTTTATTTTGGTCAGTCTGTGGCTCTTGTAATTACAGAAGATGCTGCAATTTTGGAAAGCAGATATCTTCTTTATTAAAAAACCCCACAACTCTCCACCAAGTACACACAAAGGTGTAGAAACAGTGATGTGGAACACAAAGTGCTGGAACATATAGCTTTTATATAGTGATCATTTTGTGTTAATGGTCACGAACTTCCATGCACTGAGAGGCAGATTTTCCTTGCTGTGCTTAGTGCAGATATAGCACAAGGAGAAAAATAATGTCTATTGATTCACTGATCTGGTAAGTAATAGATTTTTTCGGCAATCTTTCCAAGAGTAAAAGAAAAGAATGTCATTTATTGCATGCTAGAGATGCAACGCGGAGACAGTAGATCCAGGAGACTGCGTGTCGTACTCATTTCTATACAGCTACACACGTATTAGTAGTTTAAAATTTGAGCTTTAATACATTGCATTATCAGTATCTCACCTTTAACTCAATTACCCACTAATTAGACCTTCCATTAAAATACAATCAGAATCACAGGAACTTCTATAAATTTTAAAAAAGTAAAGTAGTTTTCACTTTCTATTTATATTATTTCAAACAAGCATCACAGGATAACTCAGTCACTGGATTAAGGTACAGAGCTGTATCTTAATAAAAAATGCCAAAAACCTGCTGTGATTTATCCACAGATGTGAGAGGGGAAACTGAGAAACCAGCCTCACTTCCATTTTAAAGGCTCTCTGTAAAGATTCCCCCTTGTACAACAGTGCCCCTCCACAGACCTTGTGACCCTGCTCCCACAGCAAGGGGTCTTCTGGCTCGTGCAGATCACACTAATGAGTGGGTCAGTTCTCTGACCCATCACTTACGTAAACTGAGTCATCAACTCCACCGCGGATGAACTGATGCTTCCCTTCCTCATGGTGCGCCGGGAGGCTAAAGATCCCCCATGAGTAGGTGGGACTCCTCTACAGGCAGAGAGCATCTACACACAGCCCTAAACCAGGCAGGGCAGAAGCTCTGAGGGCTGCAGCTCTTCTGCTGCTGGTGTTTGCAGCGGTGGCCGATGCACACCGTGCTGCAGGGATGCACTGTGCAACTGCCCAGCCTCTCCTCCCCTGCCTTCCCACCCTAGTTCACCTCTCCCTGTGTCCAGCTCAGCAAAGACCCACCTTTGGAGGAGGCCACTGGGGCTGGTCCACTCAAGTAAGTGAAAGCAGAATTGAATCACCAGTTTTTCAAGGGGCTTCCCTAGGAAAATGGCTTTGTTTACATACAGCTGCTGCTTATGCTCAAAATGTATAAGCTGAAGAAGAGCATTTCTTTGTCAGCAAGCTCTGGCTGAGAATTTACTTTCTTCCTTTGCAGATCCCCCTGGATCTACTCCATTTCCTCCTGCTCATTGTGCAATTATGAACTGCAATGGGAAAGTGATTGTTCAATCCAATACTGAGGCCTCTGTGGATGGGCACTTCATTTCTCTCGTATCTGTTGTAAACGCAAGTCCCCACATCTATTCCCCTGGTGCAATGCTCTCCTGTGCTGCTGAGAAAGTCATTACCCTTCTCAGGGAATAGCTACGTGGCATGCAGTCGTCAAAGGCCTAAAAAGACAAAAAGCTGTTACTTTTGAAACAAGAAGAAAAGAAATAGGAAAGCAATTTTTGGAAGCTGCAGCAGTTTTCTCAAGGACAGCTGTAAATGGAACTCACTGCATACAAACAGAAGCCAGTACTGATGACAAGAAAGCAACAAATAAACAAGTCAACAACAATGCCAACAAAAAAGTATTTTGCTGCCAAGAAAATACTTTATTTCTCATTAGCATAATTATTGCTTAGAGTTTCAACTCCAAATGCCACAAACAATTTAAAAGTTATGTTATGCTTAAATATTTAGTCATTTTTTGGCAAGAAGGCAGGCTTAGGGAGAGCAGAGTATGAATAGCATTGTTGCCTTGTTCTATAAAGTCATCTCCCTCATTAGAGGAATTACCCTTTTGCATTGCCGGGCTGATGGCAGCTCCAAACCTGATAGAAACCAACATGAGCCCCTTGAAGTAGAGCTAGCCGTGCCAAGTTGCAGTGGCAGAAGCTTTTAGATTTTAAGACACAAGATGCTGAAAACGGAACCAAGGATTTCCACCAAAAAGAATTTCACACTACACTTTTCACTCCCAGGGAAAGGTTGGGAGAGGCACAGAGCTAAGATCTAGTCAAGGAAAAGCCCTTAGATTTTGTTTTAAATAGATATTGCTTCATCTACTTCTCAAACCTTATGGTGTATGTACACACAAACTAGACATCGAGATGGACTGTGACCTGAAGTTTGGTGTCAGCTCAGAAGGAAGCAAAAGAACGAGCAGTTGGAACTCCCTTAAACCAGAGAAAAGAGAGAGGACTGCATTTCCCAGTCTTCCCAGTCCTTCTCGAGGCACTGCTTTCAAGTGTGTCTAAAATTACCACATAACTCTCCAAATGTAAGCTCAGATTTAGGCAGTGAAAAATCTACACAAAGACAGTAATTTTTACCTTGCCGGATCCATTCCCTTTAACTAGGAACATAGATACTGGTGTTTTGAGAAAAAATTACCTTCCTGAGTCTTTTATTGGACAGCATATTTTTGCCTATATGCTGCACTTTTTGCTCCTAAGGCTGGTCCACATCTTTTCCAACATAAATTGAAGGAAGCTTTGCTGGTAGCTTCCCTAGGATTAAGGTTCTGAAGTTGAGCGAGTCATGTACAATAGATCTACCTTCTGAGAAGTGCCATCAATTAAAAACAAGGTACGCCGGAGGAAAGTGCTCTGGCAGTGACTCACCATAGGAAGGACCTTTCAGAGCCAAGTCCACCCTTGTTTTATTTCAGGGGGCTTCTGGGGCATTACCTTTGAAAATCGGTTCTTAGACATGACAAATGCTATCAGCTTAAAGAGCTATGGACTATGGTAGGCACCGAATTGCTGCAATGCTGCTCTGGCTTTTTCCGAGTCTGTTGATAGCTGGTGGCTATAATTAACAGAGTCCTTTATGCAATTACCATGTCCCTGAGAGAAATCAATGCCACAGCATTGTTTTACCTTCCTCCCTTTACCTAGAATTCTGTAAATTCAAATGCACACGCAGCCACGAACATCAGGCTTTGAACCATATTTTATAGAGCTTCACTAATGTATTACAGTGTTTCAGCTGTAGTACAAGATGATGGGGTATAAATATGTATGCTCGTATAATTGCCTGGGGAGACTTCAGGATTGGAAATCTTTAACAGATTAGACAGATGTTTATCAGGTATGACACAGTATCATTTATCCAGTTGGTTGGTCTAGAAGCCCGGTGGAGGTCCCTGTTTTCCTTATTTTGCAATGATTCTGTCCATGTGGGATGATCATGTTACCTACAAATAGTTTGGTAAACCGGAGGACCAATAAAGCTTAATTGGACTCCTGTGTGGATTCCCTTACATCTAATAAAGTGGATGGTACTTACAATTTTTTCAGAAAAATCATGTACAGAAAATACTTCCTCCACATAGTTTTCTGTTGATGTAAATCGTACAGGACCAGAATACCTCTGAGACCTCCAAAGATGTGATTGAAATTGGCTGTTTAGTACAATAGTTATTAGACAAGGGCTGACACACCTACACACAAGCAAGCACAGAGGGTGATCAGGCGAGCCTTATTGCACCATGAAATCAGGCTGAAATGCAAAGCTGATGCAGCAACCTTATCTGGCAATTTAACAAATGACTACTCTGTGGGGGAAACAGGAAGCTGTACATAAGGTTTTAATTATACTGATTATGGAGTGGACTTTTTAGTGCATTGCAGCCATGATCTTGTGATAATCAGACAATGCAAAGCCATCAGAAGCTCTTCTTAACAATTTGTCATTTATTTTGTGTCACTGGATTAGGGTAAAGGAACCCGAGTGTGCCAATGTATCTGATTTCTTTATAGTAGGCATCACTGGTAAAACAACTAAGGACTGTAATATGTACTAAGGCCTTATTAAATGGGATTAAAATAGGATATGGATTAGTAGCATGAATTTTATGTGGAATTTTATTTTTGTATGCTTCAACACCTGCACCAGAAAGCAGGATGAGCACTGCAAGTGATAAACTCATGCATGAGTTCAGTGCCGATGATTTCTGTTTATAAGTGGTAGAAGTTTTGGGGTTGCATTTGAACTTCTGTGTAACAATGCAAGACATCTCCTGTCAGAAAATCACAGGAGAACATACTAAGGAATGTTAGTTACCTGTTGTTTTTCATAAAACTCACACTCAGTAGTGACAAATAAATGCGCGAAGTTGAGCGGGGAATTTTCCTGAATCTCAGGCGTTGTTGCAAGTCACCATTAAAAAGTGGGTCTGATCCCTGAGAACATGAAAGAGGGATCACATCAGGGAACAGCATCCTCGTTAAGGCAGAGAGTGATGCACGTCACATCCTGTGGAGGAAGAAACTATGCCTCTTTTCCCATATCTTCTGCTGACACAAGAGGGAAAGCCAGTAAAGTCACAGGAATCACAGTGAGACCAGGTTAGAGGAATTAATGGGGCACTGTGTGGAGCTATCTAAAAAAGTACAAGGTATTAAACCAAAACTGACCAAGAGATTCCAGTTTGTCTTCCTGCTGTGGTCCTTCCTGTTCCCAACTGGTGCAGGGCTTGCTTTCTCGTTTATAGAGTTTCATTCAAATTTATCTCTAGGGTTCCTGAACAAGAAAGGTGTAGATGACCAAGGGGTGTTCATGGCAGAGTTAGATGGGAATATTTTGCTCAGCTGTCTTTCATTTGCCTGCAGTAGGTCTTCCCTTCTGACTAAATGCCAAAATGCTGCCTGTAAAATAAGTGGGATGTGCATGGGAATTCAGAACTGCAAACAGGCTAAGGAAAAAATATGCCACTGATATCTGCTGCAGATTTTTGCAGAGAGGCTAAAGCTGTTTAAACTGCCACTTAGGCTTCTCCTGCCTTCCTCTGCACACATGCATTAAGAGGCATCAACCGGGGGAAGCCACTGGGATTTGATGTTCCTAGCCTGATTCCAGCTGATTAAATGAGTAGGCTGAAAGCCAGTGGAAGCAGGCCCTGGAAGCAGAAGTTAATAAAGATTATTTGCCCATTCAGTGGCTTGGGGTCTTCTGTTGTCCCATCTTACCCACTGATGGCCTTTGCTGGTCTCGGAGATGGAAGGTCATGAGGCTGAGTACCTGTTTCCAGACTGAACGGGGACTGTGAGATCTCTACTCTTACTCCAGCTCAAAATGGTGAGGGGAAACGTGCTGTCTGTTGTCCACCCCTCTGCCCTTCTCTGGGATGTTTCTTCAGAGCTGGAAGGATGAACACAGCATGATGCTGGGAACGGCAGCACACAGCCAGCTCTGTCCCGGCTGGGCTGCTTAGGAGGGGCAGAGCAGCGAAGAAGATGCTTCCTTCTGCTTTTTTGGCATGTTTGGTTTTATTAGCAGTCTATAGGAAAATACTGTATGGAAAATAGTTTTTCCCTTGCTTTCCTAAACTCCCTGGTGCCACCCTTTGATAGCGCATGGTGTACTTACGCTTGATACAAGCCCACAGTAGCTGGGGTAGGTAGTGTTTTAATATTTCATATGTGGTCTGCTTGTCAGAGCTGTTTTCTCTCTCATCACACCAGTACACCGGGGCTTTTCTTACGCGATGACTGGAACGCTTCCTCCAGACCACCCTGTGTACAGTCTCTCCGTGCTGCTTTCAGAGCCCAGGCAGCGGGTGCAAATGATCAAGGATGCATAAATCTTCATCAGTGAGTGAAGAAGGCAAGGCTGGTATGCAATGGAAGGGTGAACCACTGGTCTCTGGATATCTCATTGTCTTGTCCTCCAATGGCTATTTTAGCAGATTGATCCTATTTCAGGAGCTTTTTGAGGTATACCTACTCTACAGTTCTCTGCTGGTTCCTGTTAACAAAACAGATTCTTGCCAGGGATCATTTCTGATCAAAGGATTAAGGCACAAGGATGAAATCGAGAGGGAATCACTTTTGATTTCCTAGTCTTTAGATGCATGAAAGATGGTTTCTTAGCTCTGGAGTCAGGAAAACCTTATCTGTGCTGATATGTGTTATGGCTTCATCCAGCTGCTGAAGAAAAGAGGCTTCACTCCCTTTGAAGTTTACCCGTCTGAGCTTAGTGCTGGTATAAGCAATGGAAGTGGCAGCTTTGCCCTTTGAAGATGCCTCATTTCTGTCTCAGAGTTTCCTTAATTTCTTCCCTTGGAAGCTGATGGAGTTAAGGGAATACAGAGCCAGCAAGAACTCAATATCAGGAAGGCTCTAAACGTCCTGGTAATAAGCACACTGTAATAACGTGACTGGAGCAGTAGCATCAGCAGCGGCAGGTTTCATCGCATCCATCGCTGGTGAAAAACACTTTTATTTCCCCTGGTCTCTCCATGGAGTGTTGCAGTGTGAAACAAAGGGGGATTTTCACATCATCTGCAGCCAGGCACTAGTTCAGATACCCAGATGAATGGGTTGCCACCCCTCAGAGACTCCTGGATCTTCATTTAAACCACTGTCTTCTGGAGGTGACTCCCTCGCCATGACTACAGAAGGACATGTCTTGTAACTTAACACTGCCATTAGGTACATAAAGCCAGATGTTGCAAACACCCTACAGCACAACATCACAGCAATTCAGACTCCACAATTCCTCTAGCTCCTTTGAGACAAGTATTACTGGACCCATTACATCATATATTTTACTTTTTTCATTTACTCTTTCTGTGTTCTTAATCAGCAATTATTTTTACAGCATCATGCTTACTTCCTGATCATTCAAACTTCTTTTCTTTATTTAATACACAACAGACAGATGTAAAAAAAAAAAAAAAATAGTCAGCCTCTTCCAGCCATTTTGAATCACCATTAATTTCATCCGTTTCTCATTTTTAATTGTCCTGTTATCTCTTTAGCTCCATTCCCACTCCAATATATTAGGAAAAAACAAAACAAAACAAAACAACCAAGCCAACCTTCTCGTTTCTCCTAGCCCCTTGGCTAACGGTAACTCATTCTGGGGTTTTAATTACATTTTTAATTAAGGCTGCCACAATCCTATTGGCTCCAAGGCTTTCATCATGCACAGTATATTTTAGCATGCAATGCAGTACACTCTGATCAGCAGCAACAGCCTCTCACAGAGGCTGTAGGGACAGAGCAGAGCACGTAACGCTGTCTGCTTTAAGAACCTGGGCAGGGAATAAGGAGATGTTAGTTTCTTATCTGCCTCATGTGATTGGGTTTCATTTAGCCACCTCATCATTGTCTCAGTGCTCTGCCTGTAAAATACCCTCTCTCTCTCTCTCTTATCTGCTAGTTGCGTGATTTACCGAAACCCCCCATGCCTTGGTTTGATCCCCCTGCTGTTAATCAGCGGGTTCTTTGCCCCGTGCCCTCTCGCAGGCACCAAACAGCCCTGCCCTGCCCTGCCCTGCCCCGGCGCTGGCACTTCTGGCCCTTGCAGGATGCCGGGCCGGCCGCCTTCTCCCACGTGCAGCTGCCTGCCCGTACCCGAAACCCTCATCTACTGCACAGAGCCTGAAAGCAGATGGAGCGACGTGGCTGACGGTCCAGACCTAAACCTTCCCCTTCCTCTACGTGTGTCTGCGCATCCTTCGTGTGACCCCGGACGGGAGCACGCGCTCTCTGCTGCGAGCACACAGAAACCCCATCCCGGCCCTGCTGAGCGTTGCGGCTGTGCCACCTGAAGCAGAGCAGTCATACACCATCAGTGCCTAGCTAGTCCGGAGCACATCTGCTGGAGGTGGGTTCAGTGACTCACTGCTGCTTCACTGTATGTGACTCATCTCTCTGACCCTGTGTTAAAGTCCAGGTTTGTGTCAATAGGAGTCGTGTTTAAACAGTCGTAAGTGAACACCCTTGACACTGCGGTCATTAAAGGTGGCATTATTTAATTTCCAAGAACGTACAGACTGTAGCTTTCATATCCTAGCCAAATTCTAACTTGAGTATTTACTTTTTGCAACTCCAAATGGTTTCTGTCATTTTTACTGGCAACTACAATTTCACTTCCTACCCTAAACCATACCAGGTTGCTCATATACTGTATAGTGCCACATAGAATGGAGCTTCTAGTTTTCTATTTGTATATTTGGAAAACATTTTGAGCAGAAAAGACAGCATGTAATGTTTAAGAATATTTCTTATTATTAATTTATATATTCCTCCAACTGTTCTGAGAGGTACCGGTGTTTATAAAATGCTCTGAGTTTCTCTGATGAAATGTGAGCTGTAAAAAGCAGTCACTGCTTTTAATCACAGATGAACCCAAGGTGTCATAATTACTCTGGCTCCAGATTCAACAGAGTTTACAATGCATTAGAAAAACATAACCAGCTATATGACTGCAGGGTAATTCAGTAAAAGCAAATGGACTTCTTGTAAAACAAGTTAATATAATTCATTTATTTCAGCTTCTTCAGGAAAATCTCTTTAGGAAGAAATTAATTACTTAAGTTTCTCACTGGCAGCCAGGAGTTTATGACAACCACTGAGCCAGGGGCTGACTCAAGCACATCATTCAGGGCACTGGTATCAGATCAGCCCTTCCCATAGTGAACCCCCTGGCCAGGCTCTGAGGAACAACTGGTCACAAGTTGGAGCCCACAGGTTCCCCCTGCCTGACGGGGACAATCCCAATGATGAGGAATGGAGCAGCTGCACAGAATAATTCTAGGAATAATTCATAAATAAATTTCAAAGAATTATTAACATTTCAAAGTTAGTTTCCAGAGAAAACCTGCCCACTCTGGCAGCAAGGTTTATTCCTGTGAGTCTAGCTCTCAGAAGATGTTTATCCAACAAAAGTGTCAGGAATTAGACAAGTCCCAAATACCAACTTTTCAGTGGCTGTTGTTATCCCCTGGAGCCATTCATAGTCACAGTCATTCCCATGAATAAAGAGACATTTTTCTTCAAGCAAGAAATAATCACAGGCTATGGT